CACGCATGATTTGGGCACTTAATACTCTGTGCCAAATTTCAACTCTTGACATGTACTCCTTCCTACCTCTAAGCTGGTAACACAGCAGGCATACGATTTTATAAACAAGACATAGTCTTGTTGACAATTAATATTTTAAGATAATATTGTTATTGTATAACAACTTTTGTTAGACATTTAATAAAATAAATTTCAATTTTTTAAATTTACAAACAAACTTCAAACTTTTCTAGAAAAACTAAACTTTATCGTTGTGTATTGAATATTTTTTATTAATAAAAATTTAAGATTTGTTTTAGTTTTTCACATTATTTAGTTTAGTTTTATTTATTATTTTATATTTTTTGTGTGCTCTATTTCTTGTGAGAGGGGAAGGGGGCCTGGTAAGAAGAAAATGTCTAGGGCCCTGAACATCAGACATTTTCTGCCCACTGTCTACCTTGGCTATTAAACTCACCTTTAAAAAATAAAAACAGATGCAAAACTTAACAAGTGCTCAACAGTCTTGCAAAGACTATAAAAAGTTATTTGTCAGGAAGGTAAACAAAAAGCTGGAATTACAATGGAGAGTTTCAAAGTTTGGAGGAATATTATCTGATCAGTATTGGGTTGAGCATCAATGGCAACATCTCCCACACACTGAAAAATTTTGAATTGTTATCTGGAGACAATGGAAAACCAATCGGTATTCATTATTTTACATCTTTTTTTTTTGTGTTTGTTCTGTGAAGTGTTCATTGTCTAAATATAAAAATCTTTTGCGAAAGTGTTCATTGTCTGATTTGTTCACAGTCTGAACTGTTTGTTAACCGATCACCTACTGTATCTTGCTTTGTGGGTTGCTGTTGCTGATCTAACTCTGTAACTCCTTATGTATTAAGTAGTGATATAAGTAGGATGGAAGTAGATAAGCTCTTCGAATTAGTGCAGCAATGGCATTGTTAATATATACTAGTGGCTGAAAGGATGTGTTGGGTATTGTGTAAGAATATAAACTAAATTTATGATGCATACCATAGCTAATGCCTGTGAGAGTTCTATAAATTAGTAAATCCAGAAAACTAATCTTGTTGTCTTTTTCATTTTCTATAGTAAAATTAAATTATAGTAATTAGTTTCTCATAATTAGTTCTGCTAAAATCACTGATAGTGGAGAACTCATGGGTACACCTTGTTTCTAAATTTGGCTATTAAAGTAAAAGTAATTATCTTCTGTTATTCATAATAGTGCATCATATATTTCTAATACTTATTGCACAGACTGTTTTTTCAGCAACATGGTATTAGCTAGCAAAGCTGCTAATACTGCTTCAAAGTAGGGTACTGATGGATAGATACAACATCAATTTTGTAGAAACATATTGGATGGCAACATGCATAATATTTTGCTGATTGCTGCTTTTGCTTCCACAGCTGAAGAAACTACCAGCTCTGATGGTGGAATTAGGGGTTTAAAGAACTCTGTTAATGCTCTTTCTAAAAAATACATGGGGTTGGTATGTTTGTTTACCAAAGGGCATAATGGCCAATCCTGGTTACGCTCCAACTGGCTTTTGTTTTGAAGAAAAGCCTTAGGCATGTGATGTTGGAGGGTGAGTCAAGGGGACCAGTAAGCATTGATGATGAACAGGGTTGTGAAATGATTTTTCTTGTTTTTCTTAATACAGAAGGCATTGGATCTGAGGTAAATAAAGTCAACCCAGATTGCAACAGAAATTGATTTGCTCAGGCTAGAAAATCATTTTTCCATAATGCAAACCTTTTTTCTTATCCATAATCAGTAACTTTAAATCATCTCTCCTAAAAAACTGCTTCATTAACCCAAAGTCATTGTTGACAGTTTTATGTCTCATATGAAAGCATGCCAAATGTATATTGGTTATATATAAGCTAGTTTCATAGTTCCATGTTCGACCTCCGATTTTCTTGTGAACAAATGCTTACCATAGCCATAACTGGTGGTATTAAATGGCTTAATCCAGTTTTTAGTGGTGGAATATACTTGGGACCACATTTGAGTACTTGATGTATCAGCTCCGGAATACAATATTGGAATAGTTGTAGTAATGGATCTTCTCAGGTTTTAATCTTGTAAAGCATTTGATGGAATGAGAAAGCACTGGAGTTTTCTGTTTATTTTATCCTTCATAAACTTAACACTATTAGAGGTGATGATGTTGATTTTAGCAAGTTGTTCATATAGCATTAATGGATTTCATTCTTTAGTAAAATTAATATGTGCATGATAAAAGTAATATCTCCATTGATGCCATTTCTTTTTTTTTTTTTTCATGAATGGATCTATTTAAGAACTTCTTCAACTTTGATATTAAAGATTGAATACATCTTGGATAAGAGCTGCAATTCAACAAAATATATTTTGATGTTATACCATTCCTGTGACATTGTAAGAGGAATTCTAATTGAATACATTCCTTATCTTTTAAGACAGCGATTCCCAACCTGTGGTACGCGTACCCCTAGGGGTACGCGATAGGTTGTTTAGGGGTACAGAAAAAAGTTAGTTATTATGGCAGAAAAAAATAATATATTATGTATCACAAACGTATTAAAAATTATTAGATAAAAAATGTTCTTTGCTACAATCACAACTTTTTATACATTTTTTCTTTTAGGTTTTTTTTCCTTTAATTTAAAGTTACAATATGTAAAATTAACAATACGGTTACTCACTAAATTTCTTAAATGAGGGGTACAATCTAGAGATATGACTTGTCACGGGGTACAATCTAGAGATATGATATGTCACGGGGTACGCTAATGAAAAAAGGTTGGGAACCACTGTTTTAAGAGATTGAAAAAAACACTTTCGTGCAGTTTCCATGAAGTATAAAAATGATTAGACTGCCATGCCAACACATTATCCATTAAAACAAGGAATAACTACTGTCTATCAGCGTTAAACAGTTATCATCATCAACACAAGCACATTCAACATTCAGGCAAAGAACATAACTTTGGAACATAAAAAATTTTAATGTTTCAAAGTTATGATGTAACAAATTGAAAATATTTGTTACATTATAAAATTTCTTGAATGAGTGGCTCTAACCAAAGCTGAAAATGATTTCTTTCAAGAATATATTGTAATTATCTTTTCTTAGTTTTGTTTCATTATATTTTAGATACATCAGAATATGGATTCAATTCAGTTATTTGCTGTTCTAGCTATTGGAGAAATTGGAAAACATATGTAAGTCTTTAAAATATATATTACACTATAAGAATTTTTAAATATCTTTTGTATTATCAACTAATTCATTTATAGGCCTATATATCATTCTATAGGTTTAGTATTACATTAATACTTTTTACCTTTCATTAGAAACAATGATATAAAATAAAGTTTTATAATTTGAGATTCAAATGTATTAACAGAAGATGATTGTTTATATTTGCTATGATTTAAATAGATCATTAAATTGCTTGTTAATATAAACATGATTACTTTTTCAAAAGTAAAAATGGCCTATAAAGTTAAAGTATGTTATTAAAAGATCTTGGTTGCTTGCTGTTCTCTTTACTATATGTATTTTCTTAGCATAAAATTGTCATTGAGAACAAATCATACAGGAACACTTTTAGTGGAAAAAGGTTGGCTTATTGCTAGGAAAGGATATGCATTTCAGGCTTAATGCCCCTCTTCAGTCCTATTATAACAGATTTATCGGCAAAATTATTACAGAGTTACAGAGTTACAGATTTACTGACTGTATTGAAATATTTAGGATACGTGTGTTCCTGTGTGATTTGTTCTCAACAGCAACCTTATGCTAAGAAAATACATATGTTATTAAAGTTTTAAGTTGAATACTCTACTGTTTAACTGAACAGCAGAAACTAGAGCAGGTTACCAGCCCACTGCCAGTGGAGTCTCCAAGGGGTGCAGGAAAATTAATTCAATAGAACTATTTTCTGTGCTGCAGAAAAGCAGCACAGAAGGTGCGGCAAGGCCAGTCAAAATAGCAGTAATGTGCGGCATGGCCAACAACAGCACCATCAAGTATGTAACAACAGTAAAACAGACCATGCTGTTAGGCTTATGCCGAGGATGGAAGGGCACTAGCAAACTAAGAGCCAATTGGTGACAAGGGAACAGCCAAGCAATGCACAAAGGATATTAGAACAGTACAAATGAAACAACAGAGACTTGAAGGCTTTAATCACCAGAAAAAACTTAGAATGAGAGCCTAGGTGTTAATAAACCCGCATGCTAGTCTTCCTTATGGAGACAATAATGATAAAATGGACCACATGGTTAGGCTTAGACCGAGGGAGGAAGGGACTCTAACTATGAACTAAGAAACAAATGACAACAAGGAAACAGCCACAATATGCACCAAGGAGTCAAAAGAGCAGTATGTACCAAATAACAGCCTGGGTGGCTAAAAACACTAGAAAAACATATAAAACAAGAGTCAGGTAAATGTTGACCCGCACACTAGGCCCCCTTGTGGAGACATGGATTGATGGTGTGCCAGATGCTTTGATTGCAAAGAATATTATGAGTATGCATGGACAAAGTCAGCATAAATGTGTTCAAAAGGCCCCAATGAGTGTGGAAGAAGCAAGAGAAGTATGTTTGGATTGAGCAGTGTGGAGGCAGCTCATTCACTGCCAACCCGAAAGGGCAAGGGCGTGAATATATGTATATGTACATTATGTAATGTATCTATTGTTTAATGCCAATAGACAGTAGTTATTTCTTGTTTTAACAGATATGATGATGGCATGGTGATCTAGTCATTTTTATAAGCAACACAAAATGTGTAGATATATTTTTGGTATTCCTTCAAGTAAAAAGATAAATGGAATTGCTAACATTGCATATTTGGCATACATTGCTTTACAGCATTGTTCATTTCCAACCAAAAAGTATTTTGTCCAAAATTGCTACAATAATTTTTTTAGAAATATAATCTATTATAAATATTGTGATTTTCTCATGCTTTAATAAACAAAATAAATTAAGATGGAAGTAAAATACTATTTAATAAATTTTATTCCATTTACCAGGTCTATAAAGATACATATTTAACAGACATGTCATTGACAGTCTCAAACTTTCCATGTGAAAATTAAAATAAAAGCATTTTTCTATATCTATTGAGTAGTGTCTGGTTAGCATCAAGCATATCAACATTCCACCTTTCTCTCATTATTAATTTTTGTCGTTTTCATAAACATATATTATAACAAAACATGGTATTTGATATTTGAAATACAATTTTCCATGAATGTCCATCCTTGAGACATAATAAATTTTTTTTAAAACAATGAACTTACATCACTTACTATAATGGATTTATAGAAACAAAGACAATAAATATACAGTTTTGACTTTTTAGAGCAATTGAATGTATCAACTTTATTTAAAAGATAAGTTTCACTCTATTCTAGATTCTTATTGATAAAATAAAAAGATACAAATAAATTCTTTATGGTGTTTACATAGTTATGAGTCAGTAAAATATATCTTTTGAAATTATTTTATGAGATGTAAATTACATTTGACATTTATATATTTTTGTGTTTATCTTTTGTACAAAGTAAAGAAACTAAACAGTTAAATGAATGCAGGCTACCAAAAAATAAAATTAAATTAAAAAAAAGCCTTTTCAAAACTATAAATTCCAATGTGTATTTTAACAAAATTACATTTTTCTTTTTAGTTTAAGAATTTGAAGAAACTAAATCAAATGAAATTTATATAAAAACAAAGAAGCAACAAAACAAAAAAGAAAAAACCTCTTGTTTAGACAACATTCAATTGTTGGTTTGAGTTTCTCAACATAGAAAATATAACTTTTGGTTCTGCTTTTTGTTAATGTGGATCCATCGGAAGAAATATTTGTACAAGGGGGATGGATGTAAATTTTTCTCAAAGTTTTATTGTAGAGCTCTATGATAGTTAAGATAAAATTTCAAAGTTAATGGAAGTGGAAGGGCATTTATTTTCTCTCTCATGAACATGGTGTAATTTCCTTGTTCTTTTTCTTCTTCCTGATGCTCTTCTTCCTCTGTTTTGTTTTCTTCGTTGTCAGAATCACTTTCTAGATCATCAAAGGCCACTCGCTTCCAGATGACTGATGTATTTCGTTTTTTTAAACTCCGTGTATTTCTCCTTCCATCACTAGAATGTGCAGCTTCTGAAGGTGTGTCTTCATCTTCCATGCAGCGTTTTCTATCCTGTGGTTCTCTGCATTTAGATTTATGATCACTTTGGTCATCACTGGGTTCAAGGTCATCATCCACTTCCATTTCTTGTAAATCTTTTTCTTTTTGTGAGGAACTACATTTTTCTGAATCAACAGCATGCTTTTTTCCATTGTTTCCACCAGTGAGATGATTATTTCTTAGACCGTTGCCTTCTTTTAATTGGGAGGAATTACCAGTACTTGAATCATTGATAGTTGATGGTGTATCATTTTCCATGGCAGCAGCCAGAGCATCAAAACTGGAAGCAGGAGAGGTTCCCATTACTTCTCTTAATTCGGGATCTTGACTCATTACATGTTCAACTACTGCTGATGTGTAAGATGGATGACTGTCAGAACTGACATCAGGGGGACTGTCGTCTACTGCATCACCCTGAGCACCTCCATTAGTGCTTTCATTATCACTTTCGTCGAAAATAGGAATGACTATGCGACGGATACGATGTCTAGATTTCTTTTTCTTTGGATGTCTTCTTTTTCTTTCTTTTACTAATGGATGTTCTGTATCCACAATACATCTTAACAGTACTCTAATGCAAGAACGACAAATTTCTTGTAGAGACAAAGGTTGAGAATCGGCTGTAAAGATATTTATAATAAATTTAATCACATTATATACTTAAAAAACATAATTATAAAGGATGAGAAGATTTAACAATATAAAATCAATATTTTATATTTACATACATGCAAAAATTTAAATGCAGTTTTAAAAAATATAGTAGATATTTTAAGTAGCCTACTTTTAAAACTTATTTATGATAATATAGAAAAATTTTTGTTGTTAATTTTCACATCACCACCTATTATCAAATTATTACTATTAAAAAATTTTTTAAATTGTCAGTATTAATGAATATTTTTCTTTTAAATATTATATGCAACTATATTGCTTGCTTACTTACCAAACTTTTATCTTAGCTTTGAGCTAGCAACTTTAGCATTTGATATTTCAGATTTTGTTTTGTACTTTAATAATTTTTGAAATTTAATTTTCTGTTTAAAAATCTTAATAATTTTATAGTTTCTTATTCAAAGTGCAGATAGAACTTTTGAGTTTCTAATTAGATCCATTTTGGGTTAATACTTTGAAATTTTACTATCTAATTTATATAATAAACCTTTTCCTATGTTATTGGATATATGCATCACAAACAAAAAAAACATAAGATAAATTGCAAAACACATTAAGAAGTAATAACAGTAAAATGTCTTAAGAAAATGGTCAAATTATTCCTGAAGCTATGAATGCAGTTTCAAAACTACATCTGAAATTATAGCCATTTAGATTGTCAGAATTCTTGATGTTAAGTGTATACCAAGTGTACAGTACTTCATGTGTAGTCAAAATAACAACAAACAGCAAAATCTGTAAGAAATTCATAGCAGTACAAACATGAACAATTTTAAAGATATATGTATATAAAATATTAACATGTTCTAAAATTTCTCAGAGATGCTAGTTATTTCAAAATTAGACTATTCAACTATTTCAAAATTAAAGTATAAACTTTAATTTTGAAATAGTTGATACTTACCAAGAAAATGGAATCAAGCATAAAACACAGTCATTAGAGAATAAAAATAAAAGCTTTTCATTAAACTTTTTCCTTTAAAGTCATTGCAAAATAGGTGATAATATTTTCATTGATGAGGCAATGTAAGATTTTTCCATTTGCATGACTATAACCAAACCAGTGTAATCAAATTAATTATAGTTTGATTTTGACTGCTTGTGGAATTATAATAGGCTATCAACATTTCTATAATTTATCAATTAATATCACATTATCTCAGATAAACTCAGTTTAAATATTTGATAATTGTAATAAAAAATTATGAACCAATTGCTAATTTTCCAAAGCAATGGATAGATTGACAATGAAGTAGAAAAATCTCTGTTCTTCTGAGAGAAAATCTCTTTCTTTTCAGATGCTTTTCTAAACATATCAATAGTTTAAGCATAATCAGTTTATTTTCTTTTATTTTAATAAAACAATTATATGCATTACTTTTAATTCACTTCTTATTTTCTCATTTGATTGTTAACTTTACAAAAGATTTATAATACTTGGTCTTGTAATATCATATTCTTATTTATAGAACTTGAAATGTCCATAAGCAAAAAGATTCAAAAATGTCTAAAATATGAATAGCTGAAAACTAAAATTTTAGCATTTAAGCCACACATTCATTTCAGAATTGAATTAGAAAGCTGGAAATTTGCAGCTAATTTTGTTTGTCATCACTTAATTTGAAAATTATATATTGTCAACAAATTGCCATTTACCATTAAATGTGTGAGATAAGCAGGTTAATCTGGTACTGACCACTTAATCTGCACAGGCTGATAAAGCCCGATCTCAGAGTCGTTTGGATGGCTAGGAGGGCAAAACGAGTGGGGAATGCGTCGGTAAGTCAACAGGTTTCCTCGGATGGACAGGAGATAGGTTTAACAAATAACAAAATAAAGGTTTATTCTATAACTAAAGTTAATTTACAGGAGTATACATAAGGAAGTTACAGACTTAATGCTTAAATTTGGATAACACAAATTATCTATAATGGCGATCTAACTAGTCACTATGCCGCGGCAGAGAGTTTACAAAGGCTCTAGAGTGAGAGAGTTATATTGGCGGTCAGGTATACCTTATGTTGGATGACGGTATGCGACGATCATTCTGGACTATGGTAGCTGGCTGGCTGGCTGTCACAGGCTTATGTCTTCTACCGGCTTCTCCTCGGACAGGAGACACCGTACTCAGACCTTCCAGATGATCACGCGGAGGGACGATCGCCCTGAACTTCCCATGATGATCGTTTTTACATGATCGCCGTTGGCACTGAGCCAACAGGTCATTCACTCGTTATGACGACTAATTAGCATGTGCACATTGACTAATTAACAAATGGACGATGACTTGTCTTTCTTCCTTCCTACCTTGTGGATGTGTAAAATTTGACATCCTCTCTATTTCCGTTATAACTTGCGATAAATTATTTTTTCATCCTCTAATGTAAAAATATGTTAAACTCAAAAATTTACACCCTGAAACCCTTGGGCTCACAAATGCTGAAATGGCTGATCTATGTACAGCGGTGCCTTGTACTTTGAACTTAATTTATTCCAGGAGGTCATTCAAACTTTGAATTGTTCAAAGTCAGGAAAGTGAATTAATTCATTCCTTCGATCTTGATAAACTTATAATGTGTGACAATTACATTCTAATAATAAATTAAAACTTGAAAACAATAAATAAATTACATAAAAAATCATAAAAATAATATGAAAATTGTCTTTACAGGTTGCACACCATTGACTTGTCATCTTAAACATAGTTTCCAGATTACCACTTGTATCACTTTCACATTTTACAATAAGTTCCTTTCTAATTTCAATTATCAATACTACTACCTTCCTTTTAGATTTTGTTACTTCCACACTCTTGGATTTCATAGTTAATTAGTAAAGGTTATATTGAGTTGAACAGAAATTTTTTGCCTATTTTTATAAGCTGTTATTATTTAATATAGTTGTGTGATTTAATTGTAATAGTCATGAAATTTAACACATTATTGTTAACAAGAGATTGTATTCTTTGTTTAGAAGCTTATTTTAAAATTTTGACTTCATATTTTGTTTGAATAAAATCAAATCGAAATGCCTTCAGATAAAAAGCATATCCAGCATGCTATTCTCTATGAATTTCAGAAAGGATATAACACCATACAAACAATAAAAAAGGTTTGTAAAGTGTATGGGGAAGATGCTCCTAAGGTTCAAATATAAAAATGTGGTTTAAAAAGTTACATTTGGGAAATTTTCAACTAATGGATAAACAGTGTATGGGGAATTCAATAATGTCAACAAAGAAAAATTGCAGGAAGAAATTGTTAAAAATTGACGAAAAACACAATACAGGTAACCCCCATATAACACAGTACTTCTGTAGCACGGATTCACTCTAACATGGTTCGAGATTTGGGAACATCCCCCATATAACACGGTGGTTTTATAGCACGGGTTCACTCTAACACAGTTCGGAAATTGGGTAAAACCCTTGTATAACATGAAATGTAATAAAGGGTGCATTCTTTTATACTTCCGCGTAACTCCATGCGAGCATTATAATTGTTTTCATGGCTACTTTGTATGCTATTTCAACAAATAATCAATTTAATGGCTAAATTTTACAATTGGGACCCTTCTTTTGCCACTAAAAGTTCGTTTAAGAATTATAGATTCCTCCATGCGATACTATCAATAGTGCGGGCACCGCCATTTTTCTTTCACTGTCGTTCCTAAATGCCTACAAATAGCAGCACACTCCCATTGCAGAGCGACCGCTATTAACGAATGCACCCACAAACTGTTACCAGTTGATGATGCTCATGCTGAGATCATCATATAAAATGAATAATCCTCTGGTAAAATATTTACTTAAATAATAAATAAGTACTTTACCTATGAAAAAAATGAATAATAAATCTGATTTAAATAAGGATTTAACAACATGTTTTTTAATTTTTGGAACCTAACCCCCCTTTTCGCACTAGTTCTTTGTTTCGTATAACACGGCAATTTTTTGGAACGTAACTCCCATGTTATATGGGGGTTACCTGTATATATAACCAAATGTACCAAAAATAAAGCAAAAGAAATTACTGAAAACATATGAGCATAATGCAAAAAAGAGATGACTTGCATTTACAGTTCAAGTGCATATTTTTTCAGTGCATGTACAGTTTGAATTCTGAAGCAATGTTTGAAATCTGAAGGAAACTTTAGTCAAATTTAGCATTTGAACTCTGAAGGGTTTGAAGTTAAGAGTCATACTGTATCTATTAAATATTAACATAGAAGTCTCTTTCCAGTAATTATTATTATATTAATTACCTTTATATAATTACAATAGAATAAAAATCTGAATTTCTAATAATAATAATAATAATAATAATTGAGATCATAACTCATAAAACATTGAGAAAAATTACACTTAATTGAAGCTATTTCGACATACTTGTGTACTATAATACTGTTAGTAAAATTTATTTTATCAAAATAAATAATTTATTTTATTAGAATTTCAATTCTTTAACATTTCTGTTATATTGATGATAATAGGAATTCTAATCTCAGAGGATTTTGGATAGAGTATATGAAATAAATAATAACTTTTTACTTACGTAATCTAACACTATTTGATAGTGCTTCTTGTGGAACTGGTTTTACAAGCGATGCAAATGAAACAGGAAGAAGATTTTTTATATCCCATGTTGTTTCACCTGTTCTTGTTATTTGAAGAAGCTATGAAAAGTGAATTATATTTTAAAACATAACTTTAATAAATTAAAACCCTAATAAGTATATATTTTTTACCAACTTAAAATAAACCTTAAAATTAAATTATATATTTGTATAATAGAATCTTCTTTGAATTGTAAAAATTATTAAAATTCACTGGTTATGCATTTTTTTTTTTTACATAAACAATTTTAATTAAAAATAGCTTACACTATGTACCATATAACTGTACAACTACATCAAAGCACCAAAAATATCAGTGAATCAATTACAGATCAGATCCTTGGAAAATTTATGGATGGACTATATTGGATGTTTAGGTTTCTTGCTATCCAGCAGCCTCATTATGTACCTGATTAAAGGCATGATGAGCTTGTTAAAAGCTTCTTCATGCCTGTTTGGCAGAATGAATTTAAAAAATGTAAAAAAAAATTACTTATTACAATATTATAATGCAGTCATTATTTTGTTTTATTCTATTCAGGTATGTCATTGCTATTCTAAAAATGTAACATATTTCTAATTAAGAATGTTATGACAGTGAATTAATATACTCCAAATACCTTTAAAATGCAGTCTATTTTAAAAACTTCTCGAACGTTTTCGGTCAGATTAACAGACCTTCTTCAGGATCGAACTAATAGAATTTAAATTTGCCAAATGGAAATTCCAAAACGTTCTATAAACTTCTATAATCTTCTCATATTCAATTGCACATGTCCATTTTTATAATTGTAACGCCGCCGCTTTCCATGCTGATGCTATTTTGTTTGATTCTCGAAAATTTATATTTTGCCCTTTTTCTTTGTATTTGTAAATGTGCCAGGCTTCTGCATATTTTAGATGTCTTCTATTTTCAACTTTTTTTATGACATCTGCCTTGCTCCATTTGATTTCAATCTCTGTCGGATCTGCAATTGCATAATTAGCCAAAGCTGTGATTGGTTGTTTAAAACTTATATTCCTTTCGTGCTCTTTCAATCTTTCATTTAACGATCTCTTTGTGGCTCTTATATAATATATCTCCTTTTTCAGCCTCTTATCATGCAACGGTATTCTGTACACACCTGGAACCAGCCTCCTGTACTGGTGTTTTGTCATTTCTTAGCATTTGGAATATTGTCACGTTTCTCTTATACGATATTTTCTTGTTGCTTTCTATTCCTATTTTTCTGTATATGTTACTTAACGGTGCTCTGTATTCCATTACAGTGAACTCCTTTTTCTCTCTCTTATCTTTATTCTTATTGCCTCCTTTTTCTGCTTGTATTAAGGCTTTTACTTTATTTTGTTTAAGTCTTATATCTCTTGCTAGCTTTGCGATGTATTCCAGCTCTTTACGTGTGTCATGAACCTTGCTACAATGAGTGTATGCTCTTTTAATCAGTGCTCTAAATGCTGCTAGTTTGTAGCTTGTTGGGTCATGAGAGGACCGTGGTATCAAATCCAGAATGTACATCTTTCTATATACTTTTGTAGCGATTTGCCCTTCTTCTTCTATTTCGACTTCTATATCTAAGAAATGTATCCTTTTATGATTTTGCTGCTCTAGTTCTAATTCCAGGCCATAAGTATTGCTGTTTATATCTCTAATAAATTGGCATATGTCTTCTTATTCATATTTTCATATCATATTTTCTTTTCATTCTTTCACTTTCCTTTATTCTTGCTTTTTTTTGTTTCATTTTCCAAGAAATTCAGTAAGAACAATAGAAGGAGAAAAAGCCCTGAAGGAAAAGCGGGAGCGAGTTAAGCACTTTTAAGATAGATACTGAGGGGACTAGATGTGTTGAGAAGAAACTCTTGGTCGTTTTCAGCAGATGACAAAAGCGTGAGGAAGTGGTGTTCAAGTTAGGAATACATACAGATACAATTTTCGAAGTGTCTTTGAGGCGTTTTCAGAGAGAACATCCCAAAATCAGTGGTGATATTCAGTGGGTTCGCACAGGTTCGGCCGAACCCATTGTTAACATTTTCAAAGTTTTCCGAACCCGTTGTTAAACACACACAACATTTCTCAGTGATTTTGTTTCTTTTAAAAAATATATTAAAATATACATATTATACTCTGTAACACTACTAAACTAGAGCCTTATACCCTGTTCACCTAGTGCAACCTCCATCGACAGTTTCAATCTAGACTAAAACGAGGTTCAATTGCAATTGACTTGAGAGTTCTTGAAACTAGATCCAGTCATAAGAGAGATCCCACAATCCCATGCACGCAAGAAAATACAAGATGGCTGCGGAGCACGTGTCGGGCTATCAACAGCGAAATAAGAAAGATATTGTATTTCGAGAGATGATGAAATCTGTCTATTATTATAATAATATCTAACGATAAAATAAATGATTTAGAAAAGTTTTTCTTGTTTAACTGCTTTCCCTATGACTTTTTCTGATTAAAAAAAAGCCAATTTTTATGTTTATAAAATATTTTGAATGAAAAATATTCAAATATGTACAAAATAAACCATTTTGAACACTTTTTTATTATTTATCAAAAAAAATATAGTTCTGGCATAAACAATGTTAAATTTTAACTGACTTAATTTTGCGAACGCATCTTTTTTACTTATATGGATATCTTAAGGTCAGTTTTTGCACTAATGTTGCTAATGTACCATTTGAGCAAAAAAAAAATTGTTAAGGAAAAATTTTCTGTTAGCGAACCCTTTGTTAAATACAGTAGAGCATTAATTATCCGACCCCCAATTAACCGTCACATTGGTTAACCGACTGTTCTAGTTGGCAAATTTCAAATGTCCACTAGTGATGTGGCATTAAAATATTTGTCTATATCTTAGCTACTTTAATATTATTTTTGTTAAATATTTGCATGTTTTAGCTGGCATCAACGGCTCGACCATTGAAGGGAGGCCAATATTTAATTACACGAGACTTAATTTTCTAATTATGAGTGGTTGTTTGTTTTGTGAGCAATAAAATAATTTAAAAATAATTTTTAACGATACAATAGCGACGATTATTATTTTTAAAAAAAAATTTGTTAGGCTAAACATCGATGAAAATTCAACACAAAGTTGGTTAATAGCGATATACTAATAAACTAATTACAAATAATATCCTAATTACAAATAATATACTGTACTAATATCCTAATATACTATACTAATAATGTATTATTTTCCTTCTTTTCGGTTATCCGATTTTTCAGTTATCCGACCAACCTGAGTCCCCAATTGAGTCGGATAATCGATGCTCTACTGTATTTCGAATATCACCACTGCCCAAAATCACAGAGAAGTTCAGAGAGAGAGAGAGAGAGAACATTAACTGAAACAAAGAAAGTTGGATCTGATCAATGTGCAAAGGGAACATTCAAGACAATTGGGTACCCCTGTCCTAGATCTCTTCTTCCTTCCTCTATCTGTACATATATCATATTATTTTAGTCATAAGTAGGTTGAGATTAGCATAAGGACGTGACCCGTGCTTGTAAAGTACCGAAACTGTTACATTTGTTATTTCCAGGACATATGGTTTGTGACAGAGCCAGTTTTATACCATGAGGTTCTGTATATAGTTGTATTGCAAGTAACGGGAATTACAAAGGACTTGTCTTGGAGTTGGAACCTGCTAAATTTTTGTTCAAGATATAAAATAAAGTTGTTTTTTTGCTTTTTGAAAATTATACCTCGTATATTTCTCATTTCAATACAAACAATACCTCAACTGTTTAAACAATATACTTCTCACAACCCCCTCAATCCCTTAAAGTGTACATGTAATTAATGGATGATGGATGATCCATAAATATGGAAAGAATGAATATCATTTTATAATTAATTAATTAAAATTGTACAGAAACGTCTATTGTTTAAAACACTTCATAAATCATGATTTCATTTTGAAAACAATTCATAAATTTTCTATACTGTTTTAATAAAGTAATTTTCAAAATGTTTACCTGATCATTTAATGGCATCACTAAAATTCCACCAACTTTAATGAGATTTTTCATGTAATTTTCATGTTCAGCTGGACAAGAGGCACCACAGTAGACACGATCATATTGTCGGTTAGTACTGTCCAACAGCAGACAGTTGCCAACAACAAATTTTGGTTCACAGAATTCATAACCATCAATTGCTAATGATTCAGTATTGAATTCATGCAACTTTTCTTGAGCATAGAGTACAACATCATGGTGAATTTCAATACCATGGTTAATGCCATAAGGACCTATCAAAGTTAACAAAATATTCATAACAGACATTTTATATGAAAATACACATATATATTCAAAATCTATATCACCATAATTTTGTGTAGATAACCCACAAATTATCAATTTTTGAAAGATACTTTGAAAGAAGGTGCAAGTTACGTATGTGATGGGGCAAGTTATATGCTAATTTTAAATTCCAATTGTGAATTGAAGTTGATTCACATTATAATTATTTTCTATTTAACTTTTTCTTAGTTTATTTTATTATTATGACTGAACTAAAAATAAAAAAATAAATTCTATTTATTATTTTTACACTATTTTTACAATTTATATATTTGGGACAGATCAAACACCTACAATTGAATTCTGTAGGTGGTGAATTTCTCACTAGCTTTCTCTGATAAGACTAAATATCATATACACAAGGGGTCTTCAAATGCACATTAGTGAAGACAATATACAAGTGTATGCTTATGTGTGCATACCACTGTACTAAGCTATTGTCTTTGCTAACATGTGCTCAGACTGAAAGTTATTTAATATTTTAAATTTTATACAAAATTTTATACAGTTAGTTTAATTAATGTAAAAGATTTATATGTTACAGTATTTAAAAAAAAAAAACAAACAGATGTCATGTGTTCTTTAGTTTTGATTTCTTTATTGTTTTGAATTAAATTTAATAATTATTAAATGAAATTATTAAATTTAATTCAAGAATTATTGTAATTGTTAGTTAATGTTGTTATAATATAGCAGTCTAACCTTTAGAAAAAATTATTTAATATTAATTATTAATAATTAGCCAAACTATAGTCTAAATTAGTCTAGTATGTTTCAACACAAGAAAAACTTTCTCCACTCACTTATTATTTGGTATTAATTTTACTTAATGTCAATGTTATTATAACAGCAGGTTATTGTAACAATGAGTACTCACAAAATGCAATAAAATAGATTAAACTGAGGAGTTAGTTTAGTACCAATTGGCATATTTAAATTTTAAAACATGTTGCGACTTTAAATACATTATGTTAGGCAAAATTATGAATTTGAGAGAACTCCTAATGATTTAATGTCAATAAAATTTGTTTTCAAAATATTTTGACAAATCAGTTTTTAAAGCAAAAAGTCTCCTACATTATTTATCTGTAAAATAACTCTCATGTTTTTTACTTAGCAATGTTTTAAAACATAAAGCTGCTTTTAATTTATTACCTCCTTCTTTAAAAGTAAATATATAAATAATATCTAGCTTAATTTTTAATATTTAAAATTTTAATCATAATTACGGAAAATTCTTTGCAACAATCTCCTATCTCCCATATGTTTATCTACTTATTAATCTTATTTAAAGTAAGAAATGTTTATGACAATGGATTTCCTCCCTCACATTAAAAATATAACAATGAAAACCTTGAACAAATATTAAACTACAAAAGAAAAATAATGTAATGTAAAATTTACATAAAAGCTAAAAAGTACAATAAGTTAAACATTAAATGAAAGACAAGACTAAAGAATTAGATAATAACCTTTTACTAGCATTTTTAAAACAATAAAAATCAACATGGAGTGAATATTCAAAATCATCAATATTTTGTGAAAAGTGATAGAAATAAGATCTTTGAAATATTGATAATCTAAAAAAAGGTGTATAGGTTATTCTCACTTATTGCAGTTTCAATTATTACTGTGTTTTTCCTGGCAATATTTCCTTGTATATACAAGTAGTGGACTAACAATAAGTATTTGCATTTAATAATTTCATAAATAAAAAAAAGTGAAATGTTGTTTGTAGCATTTTCATACTGTTGTATCTGCATAAAATATTTATAAAAATGTTTATGTTTGGATTTGTGGTGTCATAAATTTTTTCTTCTTTTCTTCAAGAAAAATATGTTTATTTTTATTTTATACTTTCCTACAAACCCATTCTATCATGTGTATAGAAAACTTTGCAAAAGTCCATAAATTTATTTTGAATGACTATGAAAGTTCATTTTATTAACAAAATGACATCACTGTCTAATGACCATTTCACCAATGAAAACAACATATTGTTGGTGCACAAGAATAGTGACACAACTCAAAAATTTCCAATTTAGAGTTTATTGTAGAAATGTATAGCAAACTCTCCATATTTTTATGTGGAAGGACGAACACTAATATTTATTTCCAAAATAGATTTGAAAATTTTAAAAATCCAAGATCATGACAAAGCCTTGCAGGAAACAAGAAACTTTTAAGTGGCTGTTCTGGAAGAACTATTTTTTTGAGTTGTGTCATTATTCTTGTGCACCAATGATATTTAACTTCACATTCAGTTATTTCCATTTTGAAAATAGTAAAACAATTTAATTATTAATTTGTATAAATTTAAGAGCACATGATTAAAATAACATTAAACTAACTAAAACTGGCTAAGTGGTGTGTTAACTTTAAATTAAGTGAATTAAATTGAGTGAAAGGAATTAATTAATTAAGTAAGTAAGTAATTAATTTTATCACTTCCAACATAAAACCTAATATTTTGAATATTTTGAAAGAATTTTAAAAATCTTATTTCTCATCTACATTCAATATTTCTTTAAAATATATCACTTTAGATTGTTACAGGTTGCACTACTAAAAATTAATTTTTTAATCATTTGAGAGAGATTTTTTAATAAATTCAGGTACTGTTTTTAAATCTATACACTTGTTAAATTTTTAAATAGAGAAACTATTCTAATCTCAGCACCGAGGTGAAATCTACACTACACTATCCGGAACCTGTAACCGGTGCGTGAGACGTATATGTTACTGGCCAAACCCGATTTCAGGCCAAACTAGTTTATCCTATGCATATCAGGATATACTAGTTTAGCCCAGGACAATCTAGTTTGGCCTAAGTACTTTAGGCTTAACTAGTTTGACCTAGACCGAACTGATTTATGTACTACAAATAGGTGCCAGTGTAAAAAAGAAATTTGTGTAATTCGAAATGCCACCACAGTACACCCGGTGGTTAAAGTGTATCTAGGTAACCCCAGTGGCGGTGCTTCAATTAGGTTGGTTTGGTTAGGTTAACTACATTTTTAGTACACGTTTCCTTTTTTTTTCTTTTGTTCAAGAACTACCGTGAATCAATAATTAGTGACGTTAAACAATGGGCGGCCTGCTGGCGGCTCCCCTCCGGGAGGAGTCTGCCAGGAGCACGAACAGTCCGAAGTGCCGCCATTGCGGTTACTAGGTACACTTTAACTTACTCTGTAAAATTAATAAAAGATTAAATATTTTATATGTTACACTAAGAAACACAAACAAGTTCATTTTTAATTTTAGTTTAATTTTAAAACTTGTTTTTATTATTTTGTTTGAATTTTTGAAAATATTTTTGAAAGTTAATTACCTTTAAAAGTGCATGGCTTAATAAAAAAAATACAAACTGATAAGTACTGATTAGCTTATTTTTATTTTATAGTTTTGTACAAGTGTTGTGCCACTTCTAATCAATACTGTTTTTTATAATTAAGTAGACTATGTTTGAATAGATATTGTTCATCTAATTGATTGCCTTTTAATTTTATTTTAACCATTTATATACTTGAATAATAATTCTAAATCAGTTCGGCCTAAGTCAAACTAGTTAAGCCTAAAGTATTTAGGCCAAACTAGATTGTCCTGGGCTAAACTAGCATATCCTGACATGCATAGGATAAACCCGTTTGGCCTAGGACAAACTAGTTTGGCCTGAAATTGGGTTAGGCCTGTAACATATGTATTTTATATAATCAGTTTATTTATTTTTGAAATTTATATATTTATATTTAAAATATAATGTATATTTGCTGTATGTTCCAATTTATGAGTTTGAATATGTATTCAAACCCATGTGTTCAATTTCCAATATTTCATTAGGCCCATAAGTGGCAAAGCAGTTTCGTTCCCTGGGAGTTTGGTTGTGGGTTTGTGCCTCATCTGGACAGGCTGGCCACATGGAGTTTTCTGGGTTTTTTCCAAGTCTGTAACGCCTGAATAAGGGCCAGCTACCCTTAAAAAGACCTCCCAGAAGGCATCCTCTAGGCAGATCACCCAAGTGCTGCATTGCCATAACTTAATTTCATTTCTTGTGATACTGAAGATGAATGCAAACAAAGCCTAAAATATTAGTATGTGGTTAAGGTTCTGGGTTTTAAGAAAGTATATAAATAAAAGGATAAATTTTCTGAAAAGTCATGAGAAAACAAGATAAAATTTAATGACATTGCAAATCTAAACAAAAACATGTCTACAAGGTCTCACATAGATAGAACACTGCCACAAACAAACACACTTAGAAAAATTTCCCTTTTATTTATAAGATATACATATATAAATATGGTTAATTATTGTAAAAAAAAATCATTTTGGAATTTTGGAAATTTAAATCTTGTATATGAATAAATAGCAAAACTTATATTGGGTTGTTCGGAAAGTAATTTCGTTTTTTTTCCGTGGAAAAAAAACACAATATTTTTATAATAAATAAATATTTTGTTGAATTATTTATTGACCATTTTGGTCAAATATTTGTTGTCATCGTTTCTGGTAGTAGCATGATTTCACATTCATGAAAGTTTTGATCGTTGCTTACAAAAAACTGATCCAAGTGATTTTTGACATTGTCATTTCAAGTAAATGTCTTACAGTTAAAAAAATTGTATAGACCGGAACAAGTAATAATCTGAGTGTGCTCGATCTGGCGAGCATGGTTTGTGTGATAGCACATCCCATCTAAGTTATAACAGTTTCTGACGCGTTACCAAACTTGTGTGAAATTTGACATTATTATGGTAAAACACTATGCCTGTTTTGTTGATCAATTCTGGCCACCTTTTCTGTTGGATGATATTACTCAATTTGTTTACTCGATGGCAGGACACTTTCGAATCAATTGTTAAATTGTCTGGTAAAAGCTCCAAAAAACAATTTTCTTAAAAACCCACTAAAGAGAGCATCTTTCTCTTTGAGAACATGTGGAACCCATATATAAAGCTTTGAAATGAAACCAATTTGTTTCAAGTAATCATAAATAGTTCAATTTGACAAATTTAATCTCTTAGTGATTTCACGTGTTGTTATTCAGCAGTTTGCTTCAATCACTACCTTTATTTTGTTTTTATTGGCTTCAACTAGCCATCCAGAACATGGTGCATCTTCAATATTGAAATTGCCAGAACAAAATTTTGCAAACCAGTTTTGGCACTGTCGTCCTGTCAATACATCTTCCCCATACACGTCACACAATTTTTTTCTCGCTTGAACAGCATTCTTACCTTTTCGGTAATAAAAGAGCAAAATATGCCGAAAATGCTGCTTTCGATCTTCCATATTTGATGGGATACAAAAAATAAACAATTGCACAAAATCTAACAAAATTTTTTACAAATAAGCCTTAAAATGCTAGCTGTCAAAATACGTAATGATAATACGGTTTAGAATGAAAATGGCGGGAAAAATATGACTAATTCATCTAGTGGTAAAAAAAATGAAATTACTTTCCGAACAACCTAATATTTTATCCAAGTATCTTAGGTAAGAAAGAACAGGTATTTAACTTAAAACTTTAATTAAAACTATCTTCTTGAATTACTGGAGCTAATCAAACAAATCAATAATCTTTAAACACCAGCAACATAAATTTAATGAAAATTTCAAACGTTTTTTGTTTTATCTAAGGCCTACTTCAGATTTTTAACTGTTTTTAAAGGAACTTCTGATAAATACAAAATTATACTCTTAAAATATCAGGAAAGGCATTCTTTCAAAATCATTATATAAAACAGCAAAAGTTATTTCTTTTTTTGAAGAAAGCTTAATTCAATAATTTATGCATACAATAAATCTATCAGATGATTAATAAGGAGGAAAGGATTTGATTAGAAGTTTACATGGATTTGATTAAAAGTTAGATTATTTAACTTAGTTGATTAAAAAATATATATAAAAAATAATAATAATCAACTAAGAAAGAGAAAAAGAGAGAAAAAGAACATACTTGATTAAATGTTTTTTCAATGATTGAAAAATAATTCTAACAGCCTTCAAAGCAAAACAAGATGTACTGTACATAAAGTCTGGTAACACTTTCCCTAATAATATATTGCACAAAGACTATAGGTGATATCACTTTCATATGTATATTATTTTGAATAGAAATTCTGAAAGTTTGTTTCACATCACAAAGATTCAATGTAGGAACTGTATGTGACTTAGCAGATGACCATACAATAATTGAATCCTTGCCATATCATTCTAAGTAATGAGTTTATAAAAGATTGGTTTGGAGCCCCAGGAAATTGCTTTATTTGCCCATTGGATAATGTGCCACTGTGTATACTGTGTTATGAGAAATTCAAATGTGATCTAAAAATAGCGTGTTGATCCTACAATAATACTCATTCATGACAATTTATTCCTGATCTTAACTTTCTTAAAATTTAGTTTGTAAGTTATTGTATTCCTCTTTATATAGATTAAATTAAAATAAATATAAAATATAAACTAGAAGCACTGATGATATTTAATTAATCTGAGAAAAAAAAAATCTTTAATAAACAGATTTAAAATATTTTTAAAATTATAACAAACAATATCTGATTTTGATGATGATAATTTAAATGTAAAAAATTAGAAATGAAATGAAAAAGAATGCAATAAATTAGGGATAAAGTTTATTAACACATTTTATTAACACATCATATTAAATACGGTATATAAAAAACAAAGAATTCATTGAAGAATCTGTTTTTAAAGGAACTATAAATTAAAATTCAATTGTCATAATTTATAAATCAGAGTTTCAGATTCTTTAATTTTGATTTTCAAACAAAGAGAAAAAAGGACATTTATTTTTAAAATTGCAAATATAAAGTATTATAAATTTATAAATATAAATTATATACAAATGAAGTTTATTTTAATTAATAAATTTTAATATTTTCATTTTACCTAATATAAGGCCAGCCATAGTGTTCAAATATCCAGTTCCACTACCTAAGTTAAGAAATGATAAGCCTGGTTCTAGCTTTAAGCGTTCCATCACTTCAGCATAAATACATGGTGCTGATAGATGTAAATTTCCATGCTTCCACGCTAAGTCCTTGTATGCATTCTCCTTACAGCCATCAGCATAATAGTTTGCTCGATCAACAGCTCGGAAAACACTTTCTACAAGTTCTGACTTAATGTATTCTGCTTCCATCAAATTATCAACCAATTCATCATTATCCTCACCAGCACTAACTGCACCACCCATGTTGCTGTCTATACAGCTGTAAATAATAAATTCTTGTTAAAGTTAATAATTTAATACTGTGTCTTAATATACATAATTATTTAAAATTTATACATATTACATATAAAATTATAATTTTTTTACTATTGAACACAAGACTGTGTTATTATTAAAACGCTTGGCGTTTATCCACTTTATTCAGTTGATACGGGCACTTTTACACGTTTCGGGCATATAGCCCCTCATCAGTCAACATTAAAAATGCAATGACACTCGTACAGCACAAGTTATTATTCACTGCTGTTAGGATAAGTTGATAACATTGATAACATAAACCAAAGTTGATAAATATATATGCAGAATCCTTTCTAATGATTACTGAATATATTTGTTGGTTTCTCACAACATTTCATTTGCACATAACAGAATCAGATAAACTTCACTTAGCATATTATCAAGTGTTTTAATAATAACACAGTCTTGTGTTCAATAGTAAATAAATACGAAAACACGGTTTCAAAAAACGAATCAAATAAAATTATAAATTATAATTTTTATACTTATATTATGAGTAACCTATAGAACAATATGCAGTTATATATAGAACTATGAAAGCCGTATTTTCACAAAATGAGATTTGAAATTTATACTATGAACTATGAAAGCGCCTTATTTTCACAAAATGAGATTTGAAATTTGGACAAATCTTTGATTGCCCATCAAAAGTTTGCTATTTTATGTAGTCATCTGGAATTTTTTTATATCTGCTTATGGTCCCAAATAAACATGATGAATATAATAGGAATACTCATTATAGAAAATCTGCAAAATTTAGAGTTAAAACTATCTTCTTGAATTACTCAAGCTAATCAAACAAATCAATAATCTTTAAATTCCAGTAACATAAATTTAATGAAAACTTCAAACGTTTTTGGTCTTATCTAAGGCTTACTTCAGGTTTTTAACAAAACAAATTCCAAAATGGAATACTTAGAACAAAGATGTTTGAAAAAAATTTTTTTTTTAATTTTAAACAAAAAATTTATACGGTGGATAAAAAAAAATCATAAATGCATAACCCTCTCATATATAAGCATTTTTTAAAATGTATCTAGTGCCTGAGATGAATTAATATACATTAACATTGCCTGATTTTTCATAAATGTACCTCCACACATACTATACCATGTTAGCATCTTAAAAGTTAATACACTTGCTGGTCAGACCGACCTTATATATTTCTAAGGCTTCCAGGCCTTTCAAATGAAACACATTTGTAACTTGAAAGCCTTAGAAATATAAAACGTCGGTCTAACCGGCAAGCATATTAACTTTTAAGTTGGTAACATGGTATCGTATGTGGGGAGGTACATTTATGAAAAATCAGGCAACGTTAATGCATATTAATTCATCTCAGGCACTAGATACATTTTAAAAAATGCTTATATAGCAGGTTATAGAGGGTTATGAATTTATGATTTTTATTTTATCTACCATATAAATTTTCGTATATATTGTGTTGTTCGAAATTTAAAAAAAAAAATTTTTCAAACATCTTTGTTCCAAGTATTCCATTTTTGAATTTGTTTTGTTAAAAACCTGAAGTAGGCCTTAGATAAGGCTGAAAACATTTGAAGTTTTCATTAAATTTATGTTACTGGTGTTTAAAGGTTATTGATTTGTTTAATTTAGAGTTAGCAACATATGATTTTACACCACAATATTTATTATACAGTGTGATCAATCAAAAAACCTCTCTGCAGTGGTTGTATGCTTGTAGTTCTGTACATATTCTGATGCACATCGTAATGCATGAGCAGTATTTCTCACAGGTGGATGACACTAGCACTGTAGTGCTTTGTGTATCAGTGACAATGTGATTACATCTGTATGCTAACTATTGAAAAGTAAATTTTTCTCATAGTATGTAATTTATGTGACATCCTCACAGAAAAGCAAACTTAGGGCGTCATACTTGTAGCACCATCTATTGGACATAAAAGCCTTAACCTAGATTATATATTTTAATTTATATGAATGTTTAACGGAATAATATACAGCCTATGTCCACCCTGAGGTTCCATTCTAAATATTGGTGAAAGAATTTTTGAAATCGGATGAGTAGTTTCGGAGATTACCTGCTGCAAACAAACTTACATAAACTTACATACATACAAACATTACCTCTTTATAATATTAGTATAGATTTACAAGTTGGTATATCAGGCTGGTTAAGCATTTTCTTTAAGTACAATTTCTTATCTGAGTTCGATGCTCTTTGTTATCCAACATGTGGTCATCACTTGGCTTGATTAACAAAGAAAATAAACACAAAAGTGACGAAATGAATGTCTCACTGAGTAAAACTGATTCCTAGATGCATTCTTACACGAAGTATCCAGTGATAGGAAAATCAAATTCTATTCGATGGGTTTGGATTGTCCTTTGCACACAGCAGTCCAATATACTATCACTCCTGTTGTATCATCACTATGATCTTATCTCATCTTCAGTCCAGCTGGGGCTTGAGAATCCAGTCTGATCTGAAGAATCGAAAGAAAAAAGGTCCTTCTTCATGTGGGACATGCACTTTTATACCTCACACCATCCGGGAACTTGTCCAATCACGTGATCATCTTCTTAGCCAATCTCCAGCTACAACTGCTGTGATCCCAAAAACGTGACATGGAATGCACAACAGAACGTTACGCTTAACAAAAAAAAATCTGATACAGTTTTCTTTAATAAACAGATGCGTTTTACATAATTTTACAAGTTTAATTAATTAGCCATAGTAGCGGAACACTACACATATATTACCACATAAAACTTTAAAACTATTTTATGTTTGAGGCTGGTTTTGTGTATCAACCTGTAGCTTATTAAGATGATTATTATTATGTCATTTGTCAACCATCAAAGTTTTCTGAAATGACATCATTATGTAGATACAGATTATTACAAGAAATTTACCAGCTGTTGATATAAGTTGAGATGAATAAATATCTAAGTAGATTGATAAAGATATATATCACTTAGGGTATAATAGATAATAAACTTAAAATGTTAAGAAGGATATTAGTAAGTACAAAAGCAGAAAAAATGTATAAGTAAACAAACTTCAATTATGTTTTTGCATCTCAAAGCACAGATACAAAATATTTCCAGCTGATGAGATAATTTTGAATTTTATGATTAAACAAAAAATTCTAAACATTTATATTCTTAGAGAAAAAAATGAATTGATGTGTACAATCTATTCCTGATTGATTGCTTCCTTTCAGATGTGAAATAATAAACTTGTGTTTTATTGCTTGTCACTATATATTTAAAATATACATTATCTCTGCCTTCATATTATTGAATAAATAATAAAAGAGCTGTAAAATATTAAACTTGTACAGTACATATAATTTAAACATCTTAGAAAAATAAAAACTTTAATTTATGATATTTATAATTCTCTGGGATACTGTTAGCAATAGTTTCCAAATTTTTCTGTCCACAATTCCCTTGGTCTATAAATTCATTTATAGTGCCACGTATCATAGACTAAAAAAGTTTTTTAGAATATCAGTTTGTACAACTTACTAAAGAATACAATTCAAAACAATAATTAATTGCATATTTAATTAAAACTTTGAATAAATGGCCAGATGGCTGAGCAGTTGAGAAGTCAGTCTACCACTCTGGAGGATCTTAAAATGAATGATGAGTCAAAAGCCCACAGAAATTTTTCAAGGGTAATCCATCCTGAATATGTTAAGTCCTGTCCATACAGCTGCTCCAATGTGGGCCTGGCCAAACAGTGATGAACTTAATTAAAAGGCAGTCTTCATGATCATAGGCAGGCCTTATTCTAAAGGTTTTTCCTACTGCACAAATATTAGTTTTATTTTGGCCAAACTGATTAATCCTATCTTATAATATAATCAAGATGGGTTGATAATGATGATAATGATAAAAATAAGCGCAGAGCCCAAACAGTTAGGAGTTGAAAGTTGAAATTTGATACGCAGCTGGGATATGTCATGAGAACATACACTAAGAAGGGATTTTTCAAAATTCTCCCCGCAGGGAAAAGGGACAGAATTAAGACTTACCATGAAGAACTCGGCTTCTGTTATACTATTTTAGATGCGATTTTTTGAGTTTTTGATTGCATTTTAATAGGTATGCCATGAGAATGCACATTAAAAAGGGATTTTTCAAAATTCCCACCACGTGGGAGAGGAAGAGGGTTAAGGATTACCCTGAAGAACTCAGCTTCTACTGTACTATTTTCGATACCTTTTTTGCATTTATGCAAGAAACTGAACATATTTTTAGACCCTTCTAAAATTTCTCAAGGATATTTAATGTTCCATCGTATATAAAGTTGACATGGGGAGTGCATGTGCATAAGTTTGCTCTTTGTCTTAATGTTCAATTTTTATGCTCGAATTTATATTTATGAATGATTCTGGAAGATCCAGCTTATTTTTCAAATTTATTAACCTGAAGAAGAACCCAGAAAGAGTTACAAAAATGTTTATTATTCATCACTTAGTGGTACTATGCACCAGTTAGTGATTGCAGTGAATCTTATTTATCGTTATATTGGTGTGGTAAGCAGATATCTAAAAATTCTCTAATTAGTCTTGGAACAGGGGGGACCTAATTCTTGCACTCAGTGAAAACGGGTAAGATCAGCTATAATCTAATAACCTTAATCTTTGTTATTGTTACTTTTTGTCTGAGCAATGCCGGGTCATCTGCTAGTCATTAATAAGCTGTTCTAAAAGACATAAATGAAAAATAGAGACAATAATACAAATCTTATATCTCTATAATTATTTATTCATTTCAATCATCGTTCAATCTTAATTGCTAGCCATGCACTGTGTGCACTGTATATCTGCATGTGATATAATTTACTATATGATAAGTGCACTGTGGTAGTGGATTATAGTTTAATTCAGGGCTTCTTAAACTATGGGTCGCAACCCCATTTGGGGTCGCTTAGCGAAATCTTGGGGTCGCGAGATTTTAATGCAAAATATTGAAAATAATTTGTGAG